GGCCGCAGCTGAACGGCGGGAGTTGGAGAGGCGCCGGGATGAGAGGCAGGGCGGGACTTTAAACCCAAGGGCAGGCAGAATGCGGGTTGCTGAAGTCAGAATCCCAGTTATTAATGGACTCGTCTCGTCCTTTCATTAGTTTATTCACTCGTTCATTCGCTCGTTTAAATATTTACTGAGTGTTATCAAGGTCCCGGTGCTCTTCCAGGGCTGGGGATCAGCAGCGAGCAAAGCAGAGCCCCTGCCCTCTGGTTGCTCATACTCTAGGGAGCTAAAGCAGACCTTGAACGACGGGTCACTCCTTTCTTCCAACCCTTGCTTGGCTCCCCATGTTACTCCGCATGAGTCTCGGGGCCTGCAAGACTCAGGTGACATGCGCCAGCCCCTCTACCTGCTCTCGTGGGTTTCTCACCGGCTTCCTCTGCTGCAGGCCCTTCTTGATGACCCTCAGCGTGCCAGCCATGCGTTCGCATGAGTCTTTGCATCTGCTGCTCTTGTGGGGAACACCTTTCCCTCGCTCGTGGGCAAGGTGCTCCCTCACTTTCTTCAGGCTTCTGCTCCAAGGGCACCTTCTCAGACACAATCCTGTCTTCTAGGTCCTGAGCTGCTTTGCCCTCTTGCCACCTGCCTGGATGCGCTTCTCTTTCTCTTCCCTTTGCCAGGTCCAGCTCATCCTTCTGATCTCAGTTTAGGTATCCCCACCTCAAGGTAACAGTCACAGATTCCAGGAATTAGGGAGTGGAGTATCTTTGGGGGTGGGGTGGGGGGGTGAGACATCATTCAGCCCACTGTATCTGTGCTTTCTGATGTCTGCTAATTCAGTGATTCTTAGATTAAATTAATATCCCCATTGTCTTAGGCTTGTTCAACCTGTTTTTCTGTTGTTATGATGAAAAACATCTAGACTAATCCACTTCCCACACAGTAGGTGCTAATAAATGTTTGCATGGAAAGTGGGAAGGGGGTTCACATGTCCTGAGTGTACACAGTGCGCACAGCACACAGTAAGTCCTCAGCAAATGCTGAATTAAATTGGCTCTTCTACAATGCAGACAAATCCAGGTTATTCCCCCACAGTTCCAAGAGGTGAAGTGACTGATTAGTCACTAAAGGTGCACAGGGAGGGTGGGAG